ATGGTTGTGTTTGAATTTCGGTCCAGGTATGTCATAAAGTATATATGGATGTTCATATTGTATATTGGCAGTAATAAGGGTATACGTTTCTAGTTAGGAATCAGGTATATATACATGTTTGCGACCGCCGTTATACGAACGCATCGATGAAATATTCACGTAAAACAGGTTGCTGAAACGTTTGGAGATATGTACATATTTTCTATTTTTCGCAAATAACTATTACTCATTGGCACGGAGCCTTAAAGCCTACCAACCTACCTATTTTGATAGGAAAAGTTATGTGTGGCAACACTGTTTCATTGGAATCCACTACCGGAAGTACAGAGTGATAAACACGGGTTCTCACACTGTACTTCCGGTAGTGCATTTGGTCCCAACCGATATTTGGTCCCATGTACATATCCCATCCTAAGTAACTGTAAACTAAACCTTACGGTACGGTAACTATAACCAGTAATTTAAACTTTAATTGTGCGCTTCTTCCAAATTTTCACATTTTAAATACATTACACTTTTTATTGATTCCTTAGCTGCTAATTCACAAAAAAATTATGTACCATGTATACTTAGAAATACCATTTGAGCCATTTTTCTGAAAGCATCTGCTATACACTATTTCTTAAAATTTCTTAGGCATTTTCTTAATAATAGTCCAAGTGCACCTACACTATAAAATATATTATACAAATTTGTTTTTCGCGAATAAGTTCGTGATCCAAACAGATATTTAAGAAAACTTAACTTTTCCAATAGATTAAAGGACACTGTTTGTTTATTCCAGCGACGATATAGCATATGTATAGCTCATTCTATAACATAAACCATATAAATCTAAGTTTCACAATTTATATAAAGTTCACAGAAATTCAAATTTGCAAATTTTAATTCTGAATTTCTAGAAAATTTTCGAGTATGCGGTTTTGTAGACCATTTAGTATTTTGCATGATTAAAATCTATTTTTATATAAAAAAAAATCCGCAACGCCCAAAAAAAAATCTAAATAATGAACATAATTTTTAGTGACTTCAAACTTGCTTTATCAGACCAAAATTGAATGGGCTACAAAAAATTCGCAACATCCACAAAAAAAAAAAACTTAAATAATGAACATAATTTTTAGCGACACACTGCATACTTGAAAATTTTCTCAAAATTCTGAATAAATAGTTTGAAATTTTGATGGTTTTGATTATTTTTTTTTTTTTTTGAGCTACATATGTGCAAGTTTTGAAATTTGAAACTTTTATTTATGTGGTTTCTATTATAGATCGTTTTATATTTTATATGAAAATTATTAAAAATAAATAATACCGCTACCGCTGTGGTATAGAGGTAAACAGTGCGTGCTTCCACTCCGCAGCGCCTCGGTTCAAGCCCTGGTTAAAGCAACATCGCAAAAAAATTTAGAAGAAAGGTTTTTTTCTTAACAGCGGCAGGCAATGGCAAACCTCTGAGTGTATTTCTGCCATGATAAAATCTTCTCATTAAAATACAATCGCCGTTCGGAGTCGGCGTAAAACTGTAGGTCCCTCCTCTTTGTGTGACATCAAGGCACACGCCACAAATCGGAGGAGAAGCTCGGCCAAATACTAACATATGTGCAAGCGCCAATCTATTATTATTACTGTTATAAATAAATGGCATTTTGAATTTTGCTTCTATCTTATTGACCGCAGCTGTATGTATATATATCAACATGACGTCGATGAAAACGCGGATTTGCTGTGTGACGGGATGCGTGTCTGATGGGCAATCTGTTTTACACGCGTTCCCTAGAAGCCGATACCATCAAACACTGTCAATTTATTTGTCTGTCAACGCCATTTTTGAGCCTGACATTGTAATGAATTCCAAGCTTTTAAAAGGCGCTTTTCCCTCACTAAATTTAGAGCCCGTAAAAACATCTAGGAGTCGCTCACCTAGTTTTGTTCCTGTAGGTTCAAGAGCAAATTTAAATGAATGTTTAGAAGAATTTATCGAATTTGAGCAACCAAACATCTGCGGCGTAGACTTTCGACTCCACAACCAGCGACGAACAATTTAAAATAAAAAAATAATAGATTTAGAAGAAATACAGAAACTCAAAAAATTATACGCTTGGGCAATTATACCTGATGCTTCTGCTAGTAGCAACGCTATTAATTTTGCGAAAATGATCGTGAATAGTAACCAAGTTTCTTACAGTGAGAAAAGGCCTTGGCCCTAAATATTGATTATATATCTACAAAAATGTTTTCTTTTATGCGTGACGATTTGGGTTTTGCTTTACCAGATCGAACATCTCTTTTGCAATGGCAACCCGTTCGGCATGTCGTTCCGGGGTTAGATGCAAGTGTCGTTGAAAACTTGCGTCAACTTGTTCGAAATAAGTCCATAACCGAACGCCTCTGCGTTTTAATTTTCGACCAAATATTGACACAATTGATGGGTTTTTAGATCATGGGAAAGACAAACGCAAGAATGTAATCGCAAATAGTGCTTATTTCTTCATGGTTAAAGGTCTACTTTCGGAATGGAAATATGTATTTTCGTACCATATTTCGAAGAAGGGTTTACACGAAGACATGCCAAATATTTTACTTCGAAATATCGATGCCTTAAGGGAAATCGGATTGAATGATAAAGCTGCCAGCCATGTTGGTTTATTCACTCGTTTAAATACTTATGAAGGTCGACCATATTTTATTTATGATGGCACAAAAATATCTTGCATGTATGACTATTGCCATTTAATCAAATCAATTCGACATACTATAATAAAAGATGACATTCAAACATCCGACGACATTGCGAGCATTGCAGTAATCAGGAAATTGTTCCAGATTGATCAATTAAACAATAATTCTAAAATTTGTCCGAAATTAACTTTGTCTCATTTGTTCACCAAACCTTATCAACTAAGCGGTACTGAGCAATTCGGTAGCTGCTGGGATCGAAATGGCCTACAGCCAAAATTTACTAGGCATCGATGACAACATACAAGAATGCGTCAAGCCTACGCAGATGTTTGTCAAAAATATGAAAGATCTTTTTGATGAGCTAAACTGCGAAAATTTAAATTCGATAAATCCATTGATGTGTCCATTAAAACGGGGAGACACGGGAAAAATCTCAAGGCTAGATACACTTGGACTTTTGCGGTCAATGAAGCTCGTCAAAGGCGCCCGAATAAAATGCGCTGAACGCTTATGTTCAACAATTGAGTCCATGCAAATGCTTTCGGAAGAACTCTTTGACCAGCACCAAAGTGTACAGCAATTTTTTCTAAGTAAATTTTGTCAAGACGACTTAGAAAACTTTTTTATTAGAGAAAGAGCTAGCAGAGAGACAAGTACCAATGTTACAGCTCACGAAATCCGATATATAGTTGGTACATCAATTTCCATTAGTATTTTGCGTGAAAAATTTGTTAATAAAGGCGTTTGCGATTGAAGACGATGTACATAAATTTAGAAAAAATTTAAACCCCAAAGATAGTTATTTTAAAGAACAGGAAATGTTAAATGACAACGAGAATTTTGTTGAAAACTATAATAATGCCGAAGTTCAGGTGCAGCGGTATTTGACTGGTTATGCGATTGACCAGCTTAAATGCGAAAAGTGCACCAGCATCTTGATGAAGGCATATGGTGAATTATTACTAGACTCTGAAGCCCTGATAAAAGCCGCAAAAATCTTGAGGGACGACTGCGGTTTGAAAATTGTCAATCCTCAATGCTCCGTTTTCGAGGTGTGTCGACATCAGATGGTGTGGTACTGTAAACTATTCGAAAAATACGCTCATTTAACGGATTTCAGATCTCGGATGTTGTCAGCAAACATAGAAAAAACCGAACAAGTTTTTCTACTGTGGTTCTTGGAAGCTGGCGACTGTTTAAACCATCGCTTAAAACTTGTAGAAATTTGTATAACCATTCTTTTATTTAAAAACGCAAACTGGGCGTTGAGGGAGGAAGTTGAAAGTAAGAGGCGGGATTAGTTTTTGTTTGATCTTCATTGTCACGGTCCCTCAGAGAGAAAGGCAACGTTACTGAAGGTATGTTACCTCTATATCTTTTTAAAAATATTTATATATATATATATTTTTTTTTTCAATTTAAATTCGGATTTTTCCCCATGTTTTCGTCTGTTTTAGTTCGCTGCTTTTGTAAGTAACCTGCTCGCTGCATGTCTTGCATCAACTATTTCGTGAGAAGTTTCAACTACTTCGTGGCCTGTGCGCCAATTACTTCATGGGAAGTGTCAACCGCTTTGTGAGAAGTTTAAACTACTTCTGGCCTGTGCGCAAAATACTTCGTGGGAAGTGTCAACTACTTCGTGAGAAGTTTCAACTACTTCGTGGCCTGTGCGCCAACTACTTCGTACGAAGTGTCAACTACTCGGTGAGAAGTTTCAACTACTTCGGAAACGATAATATTAAACGTCAGATCGCATCGCGTCCATTAAAAAAAAAAAACATANATATCGGCGCCTGGGTAAAATATTGTCGTAAGCGCCATTTTGAAGATTTTTAGTTCTACATGCAGTTATATATTTTGAAATAAGGTCTTTCGATTAGTGCTATTAGTTTTTAGATATCTCCTCTAGTTTCCGAGATATTGACTACAAGTTTTACGATAATTTAGTAAAAATTAAATAATTTAAGAGTTTTGTAAACTAGTAACATTTTCAGAGACTTTGGAGAAAATCTTTCTTCGCGTTTTTTCGAAATCGTATTCAAAACTTCAATCGCGATTTCCCACAACCTACCGAAATTTACATCCGACAATCTTTTACCCAGGCGACGATATGTCGGATACTGGGCTTATCATAAAAATTATAAATGCTGTAAAGCAACGCGATTGCCTGTGGAATATACATTCCTCTGAATATGCAAAGCGAGACAAGCTGGAAAGGGCTTGGCAACAAGTTGCCGATGATGTAGCCCGACAAGGTATGTATGTAGGTCAGGTGACTTGATGTAGTCACTTACATAGCAATTATTCGATGTGCTGCATTAATGTGATTTGTCCAAGTATATTCCATATTTTACAGATGTATTTTGTCGTGGAAATCCCTTCAATTTAATCCATGTTGACATCACTTTAGCCACAGGCTTCGAGCTCGCCTCTTGCAGGGCAGCCCACGAATCCTCCGTAAATGTGTTCCTGTATTGATGGCGTGTCAAATAGATGTTTATACCTTTACGAAAGTCCTCCTCGCCAATATAATCGTGAAGCATACGTATAACAGAATCGCCTTTATTGTAGCTAATTTCATCTAAAATCTCATCGACCTCACATGGATGGCCGACAGGCACTTCAATAGGATGTGAGTTTTTCAGCGAATCTAATTCTATGGCGCGTGTGTACATATCAGTCACGAATTGCGTCCAAATGTCATATTTTGGGAACAAGTGATTTACGCACAGGAATTCAACGAGCGGCGTAACCTTCATCCAACCATAAATGTGTCCACCATTCCATAGTAACCAGATTGCCTAAAAGATTATGAAATGTGTGAGAATAGTTTCCAACAAAAGTTTTATATAAAGAAAAACTTTTGTGCATTCTATTTGTGACTTACAAATTCACTTTTCTGTTTACATGACATAGAAAATAGATCATAAAGCACAGTAATTGCTTCCTGTTCTTTTGTTTTCTCCATTGAAGCAGCACCATTTTGCAACGTGGCTCAAACAATAAAAAAAAGACTACAAAAAGCAGTCTTTTGTTTAAGAAATAGTCGCATTGTAGACATAAAAGTCATCTTACCAAACCATTGATGTGCGATCTCGTGGCCCACAGTTAAGGCAATCGATTGCTTGCGCATAATTTTTTTTCGGATCCACTAATACAGATGTCTCAGGATATGTTACAAAGCCTCAATTCTCCATTGCACCGGCCGGAAAATCGAAAATCGCTAACTCTCGTATCGTAACTTGTATAATACGGCAACACTTTTGTGGATATTCGAGTGCAAAAATGCCCTGCTCCTTGCCAACAGGCGTGAAAACTCGTACTATTATGCCACCTTCCGACTTGCCTTCGACATAATCAAATCGCCAACCACAACATAATTCTAAAAGATATTTTTTCTCTACATTTTGATGTATCAATCTAATTAATCGATTATCGATTCACATCAACAAAGTCATCACCAGTTACACAGCAATGTTATCACGAGATTTAAATGTTTGATGTATGAAAACAAAAAAAATTAAGGGTTATTTTCATCAAATATTTACTAACTAATTGTGAATTTTTATCCACCCATTGGCGCTTCAAAACTATTCATGTGAAAATTAAAATCAAAATGACTTCCTCCAAACAAACGATGCTAGATCAGAGATTTATTAGGCGGTTTTTTCGTAGCTTTTTGCGAAAAGTTATTTGGAAATGCTTACTACTCAACAAGGATTTTAGCACAAGATTGTTGATTTTGGTTAAATAAATTATATATTTAAAAGAAATTTTTATTTATTTTGGAAATAAATTTAATTTGCGGAAAGTGAAGTGAAACGAAGTAAAGTGAAGTCACGAAGTAAAGGCTCCCAAAGTGAAGTGGAAAACTATTGTAAAAATGTAGAGTAAAAATTTTACTAGCAGAAATTAGCTGGAGAGCCAAAAAAAGAAGAGCCTAAGAACGAGAGAGAGCTGCTAGTTTTTTGGGTTGAGAAACGCTTTCCCGCAGAAATTAGTGATAATTTGTGATAATTATCTGTTAAGAAACAAAGCTAGTGTTTTGGCTTTCCAATTCCAATACGTTTCCAACAATTCCAGCGGGTTGTCAAAATCAGCTGTTTAATACGATTTCGTATTTCAGCTTAAACGTCAAACAAAAAATAAAAATTATAAGAAATTTCACTTCCTTCAATTCGAGGACAAATCAAATTTGTTTAAAAAGTAGGTAAAATTCAAAATTGCACATCAAAAAAGTAGAAAAAAGAAAGCTAACTATTTAACAAAAACTTAAAACCTAGCACAGTTTTCTAATATTATGGAAATATGATGCATTAAATCAGCTGCGAAAGTATGGAAAATCGACGAATGTAAAAAAAAAAAATATTGGCAAAAAAAATATTACGGAAGCTGTAAAAAGTACAGTGAAGGATTTTGGTTTATCCTTATAGTGATACACAAGAAATCCTCATCGATTTTGTTATCTTAGCAATAAGCGACGTTAGCAAAAGTACCTACAACAGAATAAAGGTGCTTGAAGAGGGGGTGTGAAGGAGTCGGTAAGCAAGGCCTGAAAATGTGTTTGATAATATGTATGCAGCAGAGCTATGTATTGGAATTCTCTTATGAATAATATGAGATTGTTTCACCCATCCGGACATACTGCGAATGAAATGCTTTACCAAAATCAATTTCAAGAAATGTACTGCCAATTAAGTACAAAGAAAATATGAAATATAATACGAAAACTTGTGAAATATATGTACTTTATGTAAAAAGACGTTAAATGCATAATGTACACACAAAACGTCCCGTTTTGTTTAATATAACTTTCTCCCCTTTCAGATCCTTATTCACACATCTACATATTAAGCAAAAACATAAAATAAATCCTAGTGACGTCATCAGCGGTATATACGCCACGCCTTGAAATGAGTGGCAAAGTACGCTTAAAGGCAAATGGCTATCTTGATGAGGATCCAATGACCCTACAAGATATCATCTATAAATACATATGCGAGAATTTGGATGTTATAAGCTATGAAGAAGATTGTATGGGCGGCAGCATACGTCATCTAAATGATGGCATCGTTCTTCCAAACGATATTTGCGATCGACTATTGGAAGCTTATCAACGCTTTCGGCGTCAGTTGAGTGATGATGTGATAAATCTTTTTGAGCATGCAGCACGGACATCATTGAAAATAGTTCACTTGCGGAATAGTTCGGTATCCAATGAAGGTAAAAAGCCTAACAATGTAATATGTATGTATGTATTTAATAAATTAGATTTTTTTTGCATATAAAAGAAAATTATGAAAAATGATACGTGGGAATTGATGGACAATATTCGTATTAATTAACCATTTCTAACGAGTTTGGAAATTTATCACATCGAAATCTGCTTGAGAGTATAGTTGTAAAAATTCATACATACAAATGAGTATGTGAATATGCAAATACTTTAGATAGCGGTTGTACTTAATTGATTAATTGATTATGTTGGAAATGAGTTTGAATTGAACGTCAACGACCTTCTAATAATAATGAAATTCTTATGAAAAACTAGTTTTTCATTTACAAAACTTGCTCTTATCTTCTACAAACATGCATACATACATATTTATATGCACATGCTTATTCAAATCTCAACATAAACCACTTTCTAATGTGAAATGTAACAATGAATGCAGTTTGATTTGGTGATCTAAATTTTTTGCAATTGCCCTCCTTTCTATATATGTATATAAAACAAGTATATGCAAAACTTGCCACACCACGACTATTTACTGCATACTTGTAGTACAAAATCCAATGCTTTCCTGACAGTTAACTAATGATATGCCTTCTACTCACAGGTTTGGAGCTGCTTATGCGTCACAAGTTGTATTCACTTACCATATGGTATTGTAATCAAATAACTGTCCAATCTGCGCACTTGCTAACTATGTACGGCGAGGGATTACGTTCACTGGAGCTCGGCATCAATGCGCACATGTTGCAAAACTCTGAGCCCAATGAGAAGGAGCCTGTTGATTTTCAATTTAATTGCCCGCATCTACGCCGATTGGTTTTGAATGGAGTCGTATTGCATAATGGCTTGCAGCTCAATACGCTACTCGAACTAACTCATCTCGACTTGACATCATGCATGCTAGCTAACTTTAGCTTGGAAGTCTTAGCAACTCTGCCGCTATTACATACACTTATATTGTTTAATGTATGGCCGATTGCTAATCAACTCCAAGCAATTTGTATGCTCCGCCGTCTGCGTACTTTGGATATTTCGATTAGTAACTCTGGAAATGGGCATGGCACTTACGATCTGCCCGATCAAACACTGGAAATGTTAATGAACAATTTACGTGAACTAACACACTTGGATATATCAGGTACGAATTTGGCGGGTAATGGTGTGGCAACGAAAGAATCAAATTTTAAATTACGCACCGACATACCAGGATTAGAATCACGCATACAGCGACCATTACAGTTTTTGGGACTCTATCATACGGCGCATTCAGCTTGCAAGCGACATGATATACCTGCGATTGAGGTGAGGAAACTTGTTGTAAAATACATACTTATACACTGCAACTTGCATACACATTTTTCGTATGACTATGTTAGATCGCGGGTGATGCCAACGAACACCAGATTCTGACAGCTGCGCGATATTACTATGACAGACCGATGCTTTTAACGAGGGTAATTTTTAACTTTAAAATTGGAAAACACCGTGGTTTAGAAGTTTATATTAACCTTGTTCGTCATTTTAAACAGGTTTTGAATGACTTGTACCACCTTTTCCGCTTCGAAATTTGTAAGGACATACATCTTGCGTTGGATGCTGTGCTCACAGCTATGGATAGACATCTGAAATTTAAACACATGCAAATTTCTGGAAGGTAAAGTAAAGACGTAAAATAGTAAGAAAGCATTACCAAAAACTGGGTGCACAAAACATTATTCTTCTTCTTTATTGGCACTCTAACCGCCTAAGCGATTTTGGCCGAATGCAAAACAGCTCTCCAGTAATTTTTCTTCTGCCAACTGACGCCAATTGAAAATGCCAAGTGAAGCCAAGTCATTTTCCGGGTTGAATACTTTCAGAGCAGGAGCGTTTCTGTCCATTCGAACGACATGGCCAAGCCAGCTGCGCCGCTGAATTTTAATTCGCTGCTCTATGTCTATATTGTATATACAGCTCATACAGCTCATCGTTAAATCGTCTGCGGTGTTCGCCATCGCCAAAGCGTAAAGGTCCGTAAATCTTTCGCAGAATCTTTCTCTCGAAAATTCCAAGAGCCGCTTCATCAGATGTTTTCATTGTCCATGCCTCCGCGCCATACACCAGCAAAGGCTTATAGAGTGTGATCTTTGTACGAGGAGAGAGGATTTAACTTCTCAGTTGCCTACTCAGTCTAAAGTAGTACTTGTTGGTGAAGTAGCGCTTGTTGGCAATAGTGGATTTCAAGGCTGACATTATTCTTGGTGTTAATGCTGGTTCCCAAATAAACGAAGTCGTCCTTTCCAATTCTGACAGAGCTGATGGTATTGCTCAAACTCAGGCAGCGCGGAATTCGTGCTGTCGAAAGCGGCTTTGAAATCGACAAATAGATGGTGTGTGTCGATCCTATTCTCGTGGGTCTTTTCCAAGATTTGACGTATTGTAAATACCTGCTCTATAGTGGATTTGCTAGGCCTAAAGGTCCATAAAACTTTACTAAAACGGAATAATAGGGGCCAATGATACATGACAACGATTTCTATATACTCGATTTGTTATTTTTATAGCCGCGTTATAGCTGACGTATAACATAATCTTCCTTAGAAAATCCTTTTGGACTTGTATTAAGAAAAGTCAAAAGGATTCTTTAAAGCAGACAGTAGACTCCTTCGGTTTCAGCTCAGTGCAAGTAAAGCTTAGTACTAATTTGGTGTCGCGCTGTTACATTACCACCACTTTCAGTAAAAAATTATATGTGTATATTTGAGTTAAAAGTAAAACTAATAGCATGCATATATGTATTTATATTATACATTTTAAATTGCAGTGCCACGCTCTTCTACATAGTAAAAGGTCGTGATCGCTCAAAATTCGGAACACCATTGCGAAATCATATTATTCGTACACTGCT